GTCGAGAGAGACGCCGGAAGGAACGTCGAAAGAGACGCCTGGAGGAACGTCGAGAGAGACGTCGAAGCAACATAGTTCGTAGAAACCGCGCCGACTAAACGTCGGGATCCTGTGAATACAAACTTTTGTCAATTGTTTGGCGGGAGATTTTGAGAACAGTTGGGCGGTTTCGGCTACTTTTAATACGGCTATCCCAATAATTAAGCCCCTAGTAGTAAGAGTTAGTTATAGAAAATAAGAGCACTAGTTATAAGTATCTAGAAATAATTGTCCAGTAATAGGGTTATCTCTGAATTATACACTATTTTTGTTTGTACATATTGGGAATTGTTTAGTCACAACAATAAAGGGACTTGGATTGTTTGGTCCGAACTCTTGTGTCTTTTCCCCAAACCTCCTTGGCCTGAACTAGCAGTAAATAAGAAAAGGTGTTCACCCGTCGAGCCCGGGCAACCTGACACATCTTACCCCAAAAAGGCTTGACGGGCTTAGAGTGGAGTAGCTCACTGCCCCCTCGGAACGCCCTAGCGAGCGATGGTACCCGAACGATCCGCGAACCGCGAGCCGCGAGCCGCGCTCGGGGAAACCGCTCGTCACACATAGTATGGTACAATATGAGTAGTCATAATTATTTTAATTAATTGTACATTTTATCTGAGGTCTTGGTTGTGATAAAAAGCTAGTGGATCGAAGTAACGATAGGTGAAGTCGTTAGAGCAGCGGCATATTAGTCGAAGGTCTTGGGTTCGAATCCCACCCGTGGCACTAACTTTTTCAACTAAACTGGCCTTAGATAAAAAGTACAATTAATCAAAATTGTGCAGACGAGAAAAATAATTTTTTCGCCATTGTGAAAGTTATACTCGTTGATAAAGGTTACGAAGCTGTTATTAAATACAGAAACTTAGAAGATTAAGAGGAAAGAAAAAATGAGTTGGAAAATCAATTTGAAGAAAGACAATTAGAGCTTATAAAAGTAAAACACACATTCGAAGAAAGTATTAAATAATATACAAATAGAGTGGACGAATTGTTAAGTCATTTGAACGATTCACGTATCACACGTGAGGTGGCACCTGCGGAATTCGTTGAATGTCGAGCAAAGGTTCGCCGAATCCCGACTAGTACTCGTTTATTCGCCGAGCAACAATATTCGGTGCTCGCCTTGCTCGGATAATTGTCAGTTTCCTTGTCCTCTTCAAAGTGCACAAATATTCGGGAAGTAGACAAACTCAAAGCATCCATACATTCGGGAATCAACTGTAATCATCAATCATCAGTAAGTGTATTCTTTTATTTACTGCTATTTATTTTTCAGCGATAAACGATTCCTAACTAGTGAAAGAACAACATTGGCCCAGCATAACAGTCTTGTGTGTCCTCGATCAAGCTGAACCAATAATTTGGAACGCTCCTCTTCCGAATCCCAAAAATCGGAACGAGGTTTTCGATGCGTGGAAACAGATCAAAAATAAGATGGGGCAACAGTATCCTGTGACTGAGTTTGTAGCCATTACAGAAAACAGTAACCGTAGCAGCAGCAATGACAGTTTCAATGTTGCTCATCTCGCTGATAGTAAGTTGAGGACTTCGCACGGCACTTCGCAAATACGTACTCGCTGTTTCCACACATACTGACTGGTTGTACAAACACCCCGAATGTACATAGGCACTCTATTTGGCGAATGCCGAGACTCGAGACTTGGCAAATGTTCGGCGGCAATAGCATTCTGCGAATACCGCAAGTCTGAAGCATTCGTTGCACAAACTCAATTAAAGAAATACAAGAATTAAATACGAGTACTCCCCTAAATACTTTATTTTACAATTTTGTGCACGTCAAAGAACCATATTTATGAAAGTATATACGATATGGAATTAAATACGTCTGTCGTAGGAGATTGCTGTAAATTGTCACAAATGATTCGAAATTCAAAATTAAACTTAGAATTCTGGATGCTTAATTGTACAACATAAAAAGGTCAGAAATAAATACACATAAAATTATTGAGTTTTGCCATTAATAATTGCCCTAAAGGCGTTTATAAATGGTTTGCGTGATCCAATTAAATTGATAATATTAAAGCTTGTCGTTTTAATGATCTAAATGAAGCCTTAAATTATGCACTTTAACAAGAAAAAGGTTTTCTCTATCGAATAGACAATAAGAATTTTTCTACTAATTGTAAGAAATATGGTCTTAAAGCTTTTGAGTGCAGATATTTAAATGATTTTAAAAATTCAGTTTGTGAAATAAAAACAGAGCCTGTTCATACTTATTAAGGTTAAATGCAACTATTGCAAGAAATTTGTAATAAAATTAATAAATGGCGAAAATTAAAATACAAGGAATGTTTGAATAAAAGTGATATTGTAAAAATCGAACCGATCAGTCGCGTGAAAAATTAATCTATTGAAATCATGACCGGATGAATAAGGCAGGGACACGGTTAATGGTCCGAACAATTCACTTAATCTGCACATAGAAGTACCAATCCAAAAAGCAGCAATGTTAAGTAATAAACTACCTAATATTTATTTTTACACCAACTCGACTAATGAAAACTGAGGTAAGAGCATGGATGAACTTCTTGAGGATGAAAATTGGAATACAAATATTCACGACTATCATCATGACTAGTTAATTAACCTTATTATCGGTATTTTAGTTCTTATTATAATAATTTTTCTAAAACATTATTGTAGAAATAAACGGACATTAGAATTAGTTAAAACTGGAACTGTTGCAATTACAGATACTCAAACCGAACATGAATGGTAAAAAGGCTAGTCCTACCCGAAACCTAAGGTAAAATATCATGTAAAAAGTTACTTTTTGCACAAATATTTCATCTAAGGGAGGATGTGTTGTAAAAGAGAAAACTCCATAATCATCATAATGGATCGTGGTAAACTCGTTTTTTCCCAAATTCAGTTAGTAGGTACAATAAATTGTTGTAAACAGTAAACGAAATGTCTCATAACACCCCATCGCGCCCCCACGCTACCCCTGACACTTCAACTCGTTTGACTTCAAATCTATCTATCCTTTTCATTCATGAACTTCAAATTATCTATCACATCAATCCAAGAGGACCTAACGATATAGTGTTTGGATCCCAGCCCTTTCTCCAATCCTTACTTCCTAAGCCCCAGAATAAAAGTTACTTTCTTCTTCTTTTTCTTAATTTTATGAATTAACATCAATATTAAACACTTTTTAAAGAGTAGGTACTTATGTTCACAACTATTATAACTTATACTATAGTAAAAGAGTTATACATTAAATACAATTATTTAAAAAATTATATATATATTTCAATTAAATTTATTTTCAACTTTTTGGCTTTTTCATTTTTATTACTTTATTTATTTTGCATTGCAAAAACATCTATACGAGCCTCGTTTATTTTATTTTATTTATTTTTTTTTTTAACTTGAAGCATCTTGGCTTTATGTTCCTCGAGGATGAATTTTCTTTTCACTTTTTTTTCAGACAGGAGATATATAGATATTATATCATACACGTTTCAGTTTTCTGTTGCTTTAGGAACTCTTGCGTATGTTTCTGCTTTCTAACCATTTACACTTTTAGTTCTTGGTCACTATAAAAATAAAAGATGATCATATCAATACTTAAGAAAAAAAAAATACATACAATATTTATCCACCGAGGTGAGTGCGCAGGAGATGAACTTATTTTAGCATAGTTGGGTTATAAGAACTTCAGGAACGTCCACACTGGTATTCGACTAGGCATGTTGGACAGTAAAGGTCTAGATTTGTATCGTTGATTTCTTTGATATTTTCAATAGCCACCAATTTCAAGCCTTCAAACTCGCTACTCTGGAAAAGGAATCCATCATCACTGTTGATCTGAAAAAAATGTATTGATAAATCTCTTACATCTATACGTCTAATAGTTAAATCATGATGTGAACTGGGATCAACGGTGAGGTTTGTGTTGCCATCGTTCTTGCTTATTGATTTTCTGCAATGTTAATCCTATAAATTCCTGTCATTCTAATATACTAACATTTTGCCATTTTGTTGATTGTTTTTTTTTTCTTTTTAAAGCTCCTTTTCATTCCTGCCATCTTAATCAAATTAATTTAGAGTAAGATTTGTAAAAAAATTAATCGCCCAGCAAGCCCTATCGGCCCTCCTTAGTCTGCAAAAGTGTACGCCCACCGTCTTCGACCAGGAGAAGGAGAAGCCTGTTTCCTCGACTCTCGCAGCCACAACGTCTATCGCTGACTGCATCCCTGCCGCCGACCTCCGCCAAATCCTTACCGGAATGGTAGAAGCAGAGGTCGTCGACAAAAAGCATCCTTTTTATCTTCGGAGGGATGCCGTCAGTAATGCCGTTCACCGTCACTAAGAAAAGCGCAACGCTCATCACCGAACCCTGGGGGATGCCGTTGTTTTGAACGTGATCCCCAGAGAGCACGGTTCCCAGCCCGACTCAGAACCTGCGGTTCTCCAAGAAACCCCGGAGAAACCTCGGCAACTGACCTCTCAGACTAAAATCGTAACACTTCCGTAGTATATCCACGACGTATCATACCCTTCTCAAGGTCGAAGTCCACAGCCAGAGCGTGTTCTCTGTTCAGGAACGTGTCCTGAAGGTCGCCCTCGAGAAGACATGCATGATCTACCGCAGAGCGATGTCTACGGAATCCCGCCTGATACTGGCTGTAAAATCCCTTCGTCTCAAGGTACCAGGTCAACCGACCATTTACAATGGACTCCAGGATCTTACTCAAGCAGGTTGTCAGCGAAATCGGTCTGTAACTCGAAGCCAAGCTTGGATCCCTACCCTCTTTAAGGATAGGTATGATGAGCGCCTCTCGCCAACGATCGGGGTACGAGCCTGATTCCCATATGTTGTTGAAAAGGTCCAACAAGCGACGCTTCACACCCTGGGGAAGGTGGTGAAGCATCTCATATGGGATACCGTCACACCCGGGGCTTGAATTCCGGGTGCGCCCCAACGCAGACTCGAACTCTCCCATCGTCAGGGGCTCGCTGTACGCTTCACTTGTTCCGCCGTCGAAGTCGATTGTCATGCGTTCCGCCTCGGTCTTTCTTTGCCGAAAGCTATCGGAGTAGGCTTGGGAGCTGGATACCACGGCAAAATGCCGCGCCAGTTCTTCGGACACCTCCGAAGCTTCTTTCACGCTCCCATGATATGTGGTTAAGATCAGGACCGACGGAGGTTTGGATCGGCCAGAGAGGGCTCTGACCCTGTCCCAGACTTCCCTGGCGGAGGTATGGTGCGTAATTTCTGACAGATATCCCCCGACGGTTCTCTATTATCCTATCCAAGCTGTTTATAATTGTCAGACGCGTTTCGGCATTTCGCAATCTTCAGCTATTGACTGATGATCATTAAAGATGATCGGAAACGGTTCGTTAACCCGCAGACCTCAAAGAGGAATCTGACAATTTTCTTCCAAATTTCATTATAAACCATCCGGAAGTCTGAAAAGAAAGTTCCCACGATATATATCGAATCGGTTTTGTGATGTGCACCATATAGGAATGATCACTATAACTTCCCCATGTAAACAGAGCCAAGTGTTATCAACAAAAAACTGATTTAGTTATTTCAATATTGCAATGTTTTTTTTACAGTAGAAATGTGTGGTGATTAGTGACCGTTAGTAGAAATTATTCAGAAATTTTCCGAATAATTTATACAGTAGGTTAATAAAAATAGACAAAAACAAAAATAAGCACACTATCCTTTTATTTATATGTAAATTGGAAAAATCAACACATCCTGAGAAGAAAATATTTAAATACTATAAATTTTATACTAATTTAGTTTAGTATAATTCGTTAATAAGTTGTTATAGTAACCAACATTAGACAAAAACAATATTTGTGGGTAACTCCAATATACTTAAGCATGCACACTAAGAATGAGGCTAATTGTAACAATTTGCATTAAAAAATGTTTAATGAAACATTTCAATTTGCGCACCCTAATTGAACTTTCTCAAGCGTAACTTCATTCAAGATTTATCAAATTCAGAAAAATGTTGAAAAATTAATGTTCAGCTGTGTATGATACCACACGATTCCCGTCGTTTCTTCTAACATCTTTATACAAAATATGTTTTTACAGTTGGTGATCACATCACGCCGCAACCAAGGATTAGGTTGTATACCACATAAAACGTCTCATAAAGAATTTCTTTAAGAAGTGTGAGTTAAGCAGTAATCAGTTCGACAAAATGGGGACTATGTCTTGAACTTAGTGTACAGGCATGGGAGAGTGAAGAACACTTTAGTTCAAATCTTGCCTACGGCTTAGGATCTTTCTTTTTACCCTTAAATTAAATTTTCTTTTGTCTTGTTGTAACACATTTTTAAAAAATTCTGAAGAAGGAAGTTATAGTATAAATTAGCACTCCTAAGTAAATATGTTCAAACTGTTATAAATATTTTGAATAAACATTCTATTCTATTCTTCTAACATCCGCCTAAACAGGGTAAAGGATTTTATTCATTGGGTTTTTTCAACTGCTTTAGACAATTACTTACCTTAAAAATAGAATATGCCAGGTACTCGCCCGAGCAGTCAATAGTTTCTAAGAGCATTTGTGATCTAAAAAATCTGGAAAGAGTAACGTCTAAATTAAACACGTCAGTTACAAATAAATAAATAAGTAAATACAGAATTCATGGTTACCTTGAACAGTGTTGCTGCGTTCTGGTTGAGGTAAGGTATATTGATTGTCGCTATTCCTATTAAAGATACGACAGCTGAAAACTTATATGAATTTGTATTTATTTATCTGAACTCTTTGGCGTATGTGAACGCCCCATTTATTCAGACAAAACGCCACACTAGGTTGTAAGTCCTCTTTTTCACGAACATACTGGATCAGGGTACGCTCTTGAGAAAAAAGCAAACTCAGTTCTTACTGCCAAGCTTTCGGTTTATTTTAAATTCCTCATAAAGGCAAGGCTTCTTGCATATGACTACAGGTTGGCATATTTCAATATTTTTTTATATTTTACTGAGGCGAACTCAAATTTCCTTGAAGACCGACTCAGTCCTAACATTGCCAAAGACTTGTTGATAACAGTATTGAGTACTGTTAAACTTGGCAGTAACAACTGAATTTGCCTTTTTTCTTCAAGATCAAACCTTGATCCAGAGTGTTCGTGTGTGCAAAAGTGATCGATACTTTTAATACTGAAAAAAGAAGTCCTCTTTTTAAAAAGAAAAATTATTAATGAACTTTACAACAACACATGGAATGTTTTCTTTACAAACTTTTTACCAAATGAAATAATTAGTTAATTTGAAACTTAACTTGAAATAATTAGATGTCATTAACACTTGCGACCAATCATTAAACTATAGTACCTGTAATGTTTTTCAACCTCTGTTGTTATGTATTTTGTTCTTCTAATAATAACCATTTTTAATGTTTATAAAAATTTTGCCTTTCAATTTAGAAAATAAATTCAGTTGCAAATGTACTAATGTATGTTACTCCAGTTGTATGAATATGATACTTTATAACTTATTATTCTCCGCCTCAAAATATGAAATATCGTTCCAAAAGATCGTAAAACAGCTGAGATGACCAAATTTATAGTTCAGAATAAAATCTAATCGTTATAACATTACAATCTGGCTGGTTAGCAAATACTTAAATAATAATGAAATCGCCAAAACTTGTTCAACGGATCCTATTATAAATCAAAATTTCCACCAAACCATTAAACTGAAAACATGTATAAATGAATTCTTTTGTACTCAATGCCTTTTTGATACTCTGTTTTCAAATCAAATCCGCTGCAGAAGAGTATTTTATGTTTGCCCCATCTCGTCAAATCTTGTTTTATGCCAGTTATGAGGTCGTAAAACAGAACAACAAATATTAATAATAATAAAGGAAATCCAGCCAAATTCCAGAAAGGTAACCCAAACCCAGCTTATTGAATTAGTGGTTACATAATTTCAATAAAATGTGCATCAACTAACAGCTTTAATATTTAAATACATGTTTTCTATTGCTTATTGGATGGATAACTGCTAAAAATAATAAATAAAGACTGTAAATACACTGAGAGGTAAAAAAATGGCCACCTTTTTTAAAAAAATGTTTAATAATAAATACTTTTAAAATATTGTATATAACTAAATAAAAAATTAAGCTAAGTAAAATAATTTTACCAAAAATGTTGCTATGGAAACAATGAAGAAAATATTGAATTCAGTACGGAGTAATTCACCCTCTTGCGTTGATTACCGCTTGCATTCGACGTGGCATCGATTTTATGAGGTTTTGAATGTTGTGCCGTGGAATATTTTCGTACTCCTCCAACAGCGCCATTCCTAATTCCTGCAAATTCTCTGGCATGACTGGGCGACTTTTTACCCTCTTTGACAACTAATCCCAATGGTGTTCGATAAGCTTTAAGTGAGGGCTACTTGGTAGCACTCCAAACATTGATTGCATTACAGCGCGGTAGTCACCAATGATCCTAGCTGTTTGGGGCCTTGCATTGTCATTCATAAAAATAAAACCGTCGCCAATTAGTGATATATAAGGAACACATCTTCAATGTATCACGCAGCTGTTAGGGAGCCCTTGTTGAAAGTCAAGTTTGTGCGACCATCCATACAAATGCCTGCCCAAACCATAACACCACCACCTCCATAGCTTTTTCGCAGTGAAAAGGGCTCTCCTATTCTTCGCCAAACCCTCTCCCAGAAGACTTCAAACAAAACCGTGACTCATCCGCAAACAAGATTTTAGTACAATCTTGCTCAGACCAATTGATGTGATTTTTTATATAACTTAATCGAGCTGTTCTGTGCCTTGTCAGAATTTCTTGACCTGTGTCAGGCCTTCTCGCATTTAATCCAGCTGCTGAAAGTCTTCGCCTTACAGTGGGCAAAGTGACATCAACATTTTTATCTCGTTGATGTCGTTGCATGATCGCAACAGAGGTATAATGTCGATGACGGAGTACATTGGAAACAATAAAACGATCCTCTCTCTGAAATGTAACACGATAGCGACCTGATCTATGCCTTCTTGAGTAGTGCTTCCAGTATCTTCCAATAGCTATGGAAGACACTTCGGACAGTTGTTCTGGGAATGTTAAGCATCCTGGATACATACGCTTTACTTCGTCCATCTTCCAACAATGGTATGATTCTAGCCGAATCTCTGTCACATAAAACCACTAAAACTCAAAGAAATTTAAAACTTAAAAATGGTACAACTTGAAAAAATCGAACCAACGAAAAACCAACAAAGAAGAGATTGACTATGGAAAGATTTATTTACAAAATCCAATTATAAACACAAGTGGAAGATTTGTGTTGATTTTTTAAGCTTTGAAACGGCAAATGTTAAAAATTATTCATGATTTTTCTGTTGGACAAGTCATGGACATTCAGAAAGACTAGTTTTTGTTATATGTGAAACTTACGGCTATAGAATTAACAACAAGCTACCGAACGTTAGAAATAAGTATTACAGACGAGATTAACTGTTCAAAGATTTATTTACAAAATCCAATTGTAAACGCAAGTGGGAAATTTGATCAATGTTTTATTTAACTCTAATACTTTATAAAGGACCAAATATTGTTGTAAAATAATCAACGGAGGATTGTCTAAGAGATAAGGATGATCACTTTTTTGTCTCTCAGTATAATATTTCCTAAAGATCGTAAGCAATTTTTGTTTGATTGTCCAAATGATTGAATTGTTGTGAAAAATGTAATAATTCAACTAACTTCCAAATCATATTTCTTTCTCAATTAACAATACAATTGCAAAATTAATCACAAACGTAATGGTTTATATTGTCTGACAAACATTTAAAAAAATGAGGAAAATAATTGCTGAGGATTCAATTAACAGTTAAAAGTTCAATTACGCCTTGATAGAGAGTATGTGTGGAATTGACAGAGTTATTAGAATTGTGTTACATTTGAAAACAATATAATATAAATACAAATATAGGGAATTGTGTGTGAGGACAAAAAACAAAACAAAATAATTTAAGCTTTCATTTTAGTAAATAAAGAAACAATTTTTTTCTGAATTTGTCGTGTCAATTTGAAATAAAAGAAAAATCGTTTGATTATTAAATTTAAAACTTAAATAACACGGGCAGAGTGCACATTCGTTTTTCGAGATACATACTCACATTTGTAAGATGTAAAATATTTTATTAATACCTCTCAAAAGATATTTATTTAGAAAAAAGTTTATTCCAACGAGAAACCGTCAACTTGGTTCATCTTTTCTTATATCTATCTACACGGTCCACACTTGGTATAATTTAATACTGGATGTAGAATTGGCATAGAACAAAAATAATAAAGACGGGGAGAGCTTGAAGTTTTCACCTCGGCTTATAACTTGATAACTCGCCAAAGTCATAAATAAGTTTAATTGGGCTACAGCCTCTCATATACAGAAGTTCACGAGTGTGAAACGACAAACTGACCACGAATTTAAAATTTATCCCGGCCGTGCGGTTTTGAGGACCAAAATCTAAAAAATTTACATCTCATAGAGAGGTAAAAAATAAAATTGGGTTGTACATACAGGACATCTTCAAATGAAAGATATGTCTATCGAAAATTTTTAATACGTACATTCGTCAAAGATAACGCCTGTCTCAACCTTAATTATTATGATTAATAATTATTTATCGAGATCAAAATAAGGTTTTAGTTAGGGAAAAGCGCGCAAGGTGTACTTAAATAAAATATTAAAATATTTTCTTATAAGATTATTTGAGCCACTTGAATATTTCATTTTAACAATAATTGTCAATTACAATTAATTAAGGTATTTAGTTGAGATAAAAAAGTCAATGGCACGAGTGGGATTCGAACCCATGATCTTCTGCTAGATACGCCGCTGCTCTACCACTTAAGCTATCGTGACCTTGATCCACTCGGACACCAACTTCCCATCTCAACCCCACCTTTTGAGTTTTCCCTCCTTTTTGCCATTTTTCAAACTCAAAAGGTGGGGTTGAGATGGGAAGTTGGTGTCCGAGTGGATCGAGGTCACGATAGTTTAAGTGGTAGAGCAGCGGCGTATCTATCAGAAGATCGTGGGTTCGAATCCCGCTCGTGCCATTGACTTTTTTATCTCAACTAAAAACCTTAATTAATTGTAATGTATTAATTGGTCAAGCGGACCTCGAAATTAGTGAATTTAATGAATAATTGTCAATGTTTGAAACCATAACATGCATTTAATAAAAAAAAGGCTGAACTTTTTGAATAAATGACAAATTTTCAACGCATCGCAACAGCAAACAGAGGTGCCTTTTTGTTGTCTTTCTACATAATGTTACCCGAAAATCAAAATTGTATTTTCTTTCGACAGTTTTCATATACATCTATAATGACGTTTGTTTACATATCTTTACATTATTTTAACATAATCGAACCGATTTTTCTGAGCGTTCAGAAATAAGAGTAATCCAATCATACTAATAATAAGAATTCAACAATTAAAGATTCTAGAAATCTATTATATACCTAGTTTATAAGGAAAACACAATAGTTACGGAACCAATTAAATTTTTCGTTATCGCAAACATACTATGTACTTAAGAGTTCAGAACTCCCGTTATATTATAGGGTTAACATAATTAATTATACTATTAGTCTAAGTTGTTGGTTGAAAAAATAAGTGCTACGAGCGGGATTCGAACCCATGGACGTTCGGCTCAACACGCCGCTGCTGTAACCAACCACTTGAGCAA